GATGATGATGATGATGATGATGATGATGATGATGATGATGATGATGATGATGATGATGATGATGATGATGATGATGATGATGATGATGAAAAATAGGGAATTTCAATAGAAAAATTCAAGTTTATTTTTCGCAAAATAATCGTACGACTCCAAGGTTTTTATAGGGCATGCGCCGTTTTCCAGTGCTTTGGGATATGTGAGGCAGTGTGGTGGAATCAGGCTCTCGTCAATTTTTGAGCATGTAGAGTTATTGGTACCATATTACAGCCTGTTCACTTGTCTTTATTTGGTGAAAAAAATATCCAGTTATCTTGAATACAAGTCGAGATATTTGCGAAAGAAGGAGGTGGGGGTCACCTGTTTTCAGAGGTAAAATTAGTGAGAAAATGGCCGCCAAAGATTAGTTATTTCCTTAGCTTAGGAGTCCGTGGTAACTGAAGATTTACATTTTTTGTGCCCTTTATCAACGCTTTTCAGAAAAATCCAGACAGAAATGAGTTATTTAATGGGCATGAAAGGTGTTGAGTCAAAAAAAAAAAGAAATTGATAAAAATTAACAAACCTGCCGAAAAAATGCAAGTTTCTTCACTTTGATTATTTTGACGAGAGCCTGATTCCACCACGCTGCCTCACATATTATATTGTTGTTTTTTAAAGTGGTTTTCACCAAGACCAAAACCTCAAGTTACGATACTCGTGTTGCCACTCCACGAAATGGCCTTTATATTGTGACTTCCCTCCTCATCAACGTGTCCCGAGCTCGTTGTATTGTCTTTATCAAGTTCCTCTTGACAGCATTTTTAGCTCTCAATGGAGTCCGTGCGTTTTTGTAAAACCCTAAACAAGCTCAAATTCCTCAAAACATTGTTGCCCTCGTCGCCTCGTCCAGAAATTATATCCTTTCAGCCATCGTTGCTGATGCCTTTTCTTTCTTTTATTTTTTCTTGTCTCGGTGGTATAGTGTTTTAGCCTCGTATTTCTTTGTAGTTTCCTCCAAAACTGAGAGCAGCGTACAGGGATACCTCCCATTTCCCTTCCTATCCCATCCCCACCCTCCCAGATCCTCCTTCCTTAAACGTGTGTGCTCCACCCCTAAAAAATAAATATACGGTAAGAATAAACAGACAAAAAAGCGCCAAGAGGCAAGACCGGTCTGTTCTTGCATGGTATGTACTGTGGAGTAGTACTTACGTTCGTAATGTGTATGTGT